GTGCCCTTCTTCCATTGTTTTTCTGATATTGGTGTGTTTTGAGCTATACTGCAGTTTAGTTTGATTATACTGGATTATATATGTATGGTTATTAGCTGCTCAAAGTATATTTGGTTAAAAGGAGATAGTAAAAAGGAAGAAATGGTTCACAGTGTACAGGTAGCCTTCGACTTACGACGATAATGGAGCCTACCCCTTAGGGTCCTAAACTGTGAAGGTTATAAAATGGGTCATTCACAATGATCAACCTGATTTTATGACCTTTTTTGTGGCGGTCGACCAAGCAGTTGCCAAAAACTAGAAGAAAAGGCTGGTTTTTTCCCCCAGCAAAAACGGGATGCTGCATACAACTATAAGTGCAGTTCAGTTGCTGAATGCTTGACATGTGGTCACATGATCGTGGGAGGGGGGGCAGCTGTTGGAACTTCGGAACCAGGTTGTAAGTACCTCCGGGGAGGTCTGTTGTAACTTTGAATGGTCGTAAGTCAAGGATTGTGCAGGCCAGTTGTACTACTGGAAAAGCTCAACCATAAACCCTAGCTCAGGGGTAGGCAACCTCGGCTCTTTCATGACTCGTGGACTTCAACTCCCAGAATTCCTGAGCCAGCATGGCTCAGCTTGGAAACCTCTCCCTTTCCCCTCAGCATGACTGGCTCAGGAATTCTGGGAGTTGAAGTCCACGACTCATAAAAGAGCCAAGGTTGCCTACCTCTGCCCTAGCTATTAAGCCAGTTCATGGCTAAGAGCTCAGGGGCTGTTAGGCCCAACCCAAGAAGGACATAAAACAATCTAGCTGAGGTTCACTCCTTTATTTGCTCACACCATGCAGACCGAATCTTGCCAACTAAAGCTAGACTACTGTAACCCTCCAGCTCAGAGGTAGGCAACCTTGGCTCTTTTATGACTCGTGGACTCCAACTCCCAGAATTCCTGAGCCAGCATGGCTCAGCTTGGAAACCTCTCCCTTTCCCCTCAGCATGGCTGGCTCAGGAATTCTGGGTATTGAAGTCCACAAGTTATAAAAGAGCCAAGGTTCCCTACCCCTGCCCTAAATTGTGATAAGGAAAGAAGAGACCGAAAATTGTGGAAAATTAGGCTGAATTCTTACCAGCCGGAGTGAGGGATGCTGGGAGTTGTAGTTTAGCAACGGGCAGAGGGCTGTAGGTTTCCCCATCCTTGTAAGGTAGTCCTTGACTTACGACCACAATTGAGCCCCGAAATTTCTGGTGTTGAGCGAGGCGTTTGTTAAGTGAATTTTGCCCCCTTTTACGACCTTTCTTGCCACAGTTGTTAGGTGAACTATTGCAGTTGTTAAGTTAGTAATGAAGTTAAGTGAATCTGGTTCCCCCATTGACTTTGCTATTCAGAAAGTTGCAAAAGGCGATGACCCCGTGACCTTGGGACATTGCAGCCGTCGTAAATATGAATCAGTTGCCAAGCATCTGAATTTTGATTACTTGATTACCACGGGAGATGCTACAACGGTCATATAATAATAATAATAATAATAATAATAATAATAATAATAATAATAATAATAATAATAATAATAATAATAATAATAATAATAATAATAATAATAATAAAGTTGGAAGGGACCTTGGAGGTCATCTAGTCCAACCCCCTGCTCAGGCAGGAAACCCTATACCATTTCGGACAAATGTGTGGAAAATGGTCATCACAGCCCCTTTTTTGTGCCACTGTAACTTTGAACGGTCACTAAATGAATTTTGTAAATTGAGAATTACTTCTATTCACACCCCATTCACCTCAATCTATCTAAAAGAATTCTGTAAGAAGAAGAAAAAAATATTTCAAGAATATTCCGGTTCAGGCAGCTGCCGATGGGTCTGGGAGAAGATCCTATTATATGTCTTTCTGGGCAGAGACAAGCTAGTGTGTCTATCACAAAGGCCCTGTGTGTTGCGCAAGGTTCTGGGACAGAAATTGTGTTTATAATCTGCACGGGGCCTCTTGGCTCCCCTCGCACGGATTTAAATTGAAAAAGTCAATAATGGCAGAGAAACATTAGATCAAAGGCTACTAAATGTTTTTAACTTTGGGACCTTGACAGCTCTCCGAGGGATTGTACTGTTAAAGTGCTTTATTTAAAATGCCTATGAGCAGGATTGGTAGATTAAATCTTGGAAAAGCTGCAGCCATAGAATTGGGAAGTGACCGGTTCCCTGCTGAACTAACCTCAAAAGTGGGGACTAACTTGCATAGGTTGAAGTTACCGGAGAATAAGTTTTGGTTGAGTGTCGGAGAAGGTCAGTGGTGAGGCTGGTTCCCTAGAGAAGTGTGTTTCTCAACTTTGACGACTTTAGGATGTGTGGATTTCAACTTCCAGAAGTCCAGCCAGTCAGCATGCTGGCTGAGGAATTCTGGGAACTGGAGTCCATACAATTTAAAAGTTGCTAAAGTTGAACAAAACTGCCATGGAGCCAGGGCCTGTAACCAAATGCTTCAAAGCCGTAAGTGGCTCCTGAAAGCATTCAGTGAATCTCTGTGAAGATTCTCAGTCATCCAAATCATGGTTGCCCCAAAAGAAGAAGTAGTAGTAGTAGTAGTAGTAGTAATAGTAATAGTAATAAAAAAGTCGGAAGGGACCTTGGAGGTCATCGAGTCCAACCCCCTGCTCAGGCAGGAAACCTTACACCATTTCGGACAAATGGCTGTCCAGTGGCTCTTCTTAAAAACTTCCAGTGTTGGCGCATTCACCGCTTCTGGAGGCAGGTTGTTCCACTGGTTAATTGTCCTCACTGTCAGTACGTTTCTCCTTAATTCCAGGTTGCTTCTCTCTTTGATCAGTTTCCATCCATTGTTTCTTGTCCTGCCCTCTGGTGCTTTGGAGAATAATTGGACCCCCTCTTCTTTGTGGCAGCCCCTCAAATACTGGAATATTGCTATCATGTCATCTCTATTTCATTTTGAAAAATGAAAATTTAGTATGCTCTAAAGCAGTGTATCTCAACCTTGGCAACTTGATGATGTGTGGAGTTCAACTTCAACGTCAACTCCCAGAATTCCCAGTATTTTTGTTTTTATGATCTGTTTTTATAAGCTGTCCAGAGTTGCTTGACAGTGAGATGGTGGCATATAAATTTAATAACTAACTAACTGACTGACGACTGACTGCTGGCTGAGGAATTCTGGGAACTGAAGTCCATACAACTGAAAGTTGCTAAGGTTGAACAAAACAGCCCTGGAGCAAGGGGCTGTAACCAAATGGTTCAAAGCCATAAGTGGTTCCTGAAAGCATTCAGTGAACCTCTGTGAACGCGCCAACACTGGAAGTTTTTAAGAAGAAACTGGACAGCCATTTGTCTGAAATGGTATAGGGTTTCCTGCCTGAACAGGGGGTTGGACTAGATGACCTCCAAGGTCCCTTCCAACTTTATTATTATTATTATTATTATTATTATTATTATTATTATTATTATTATTATTATTATTATTATTATTATTATTATTATTATTATTATTATTAAGATTCTCAGTCATCCAAATCATGGTTGCCCCAAAAGTGCTTTCTTTCAACCGAACTTTCTTGTTTGGCTTGAAGACATTTTTGCCTCTCATCCAAGAAGTTTCTTCAGTTCTGGCTGGATAGTGGAGAATGGAAAGATTTATATTCCTTGCAGTCATCTGGCCGTTAGTACTCTTTCTGAGAGGCGTTGAGGCCACTTGGAGGATTATCTGTGCCCTCAGGGTCACCTGAATCCCGTAGTCTGCAATTTTTTTCTGGAAATCCCTTCATCCTCCTGTACCATTCAAACAGATGACAGCAAGAAATATAAACCCTTCCATTCTCCACCCTTCAGTCAGAACTGAAGAAGCTTCTCGGATGAGAAGCGAAAGGTCTTCAAGGAAAAACAAAGTCCGGTTGCCTTTTGGAAGAAAGCACCTTCAGGACATTCAGCGGATCCCTCAGTGATCTTCCAGAAGCTGTCACAAGTTGAGGACTACCTCTATAGCTTTTCCAGTCAGGTGACCTCCAGGTGTATTAGAGTAGGGCTTTTCAACCAGTGGTACGGGTACCACCTGTGGTACATTGGCACCTGGCAGGTGGTACGCAACCATTCTAGAAAAGTGGTAGCAGGGGAGGGGAATGAGCTGAACCGGTGGCAGCACCACACAAGCCTGAGCGAGAGATGGCTGGAGCTGCAGGGCTGTCAGGGCTCAGCAGAAGCACCAGGATCAGTGCCGCTTTCCAGCTGATCGGCACTTCTTTGGGACTGTCAGGGCTCAGTGGAAGTGCCAGGATCAGCGCCAGGCTCCAGCTGGAGCTCGGCGCTGATCCTGGTGCTTCTGCTGAGCCCTGAAGAAGCGCCGATCAGCTGGAATGTTGCAGCATCTCCAGGGTCTTGTGATTTACATTCAGATGCTTGGCAACTGATTCATATTTAGGACGGTCTCAGTGTCCCAGGGTCATGTGAAGTGACCAAAACCTGCTGCAACCACCCAGCAGACGGGGGGAATAAAAACCAAACACCCCCCCCACTCCCACCCCCGCTGCCAATCCTCAACAGAAATGCTCACAACAATGAAAACTTCAGACAGGAGGAAGAGCGCTGGTGGGTGGGCAGGCAGGTGTCTTGCTCGGCTGTGGCTTTGGGGGTCACTTTTTTCAGTGCCATTGTAACTTCGAACAGTCACTAAGCGAACTGTTGTAAGTCGAGGACTACCTGTACTTTATCACTTTTTTCCTTTTTTGGGGGGGGGGGTCATCAAGTTTTTGACACCTTGCTAGGCGACTGGTGGTACTCGGATGTTGCCATCTCCTAAAAGTAGTACAATGGGTGAAAAGGTTGGAAAGCCCTGTCTTAGAACCACAACTACCAGTTGTCTCCAGCCAACGTGTCCTCCCGATACCTCTGAAGAGCACAAGCCTAGGGGAGAGTCAGCGACAATTGTTTGCAAGGCTCTGTTTACTTTTGGTTTCTAGGAATGCGTCAGAAATAAACTCAGCTTCTTCCTGTTCCCTTTGTTCAGAGAAAATGGAGATCTCGCTGGGCCAGTGGCTCCTCATCCTCATCCTTGTGGCTGTCCCGCTTCTGTATGAATGGAGTGCCACCTTCAAGTATTTCTGCAAGATGGCGTTCTACAACAGCTACATCCTCTTCCTGGCTATCATTGCCATCCCCATCTGTGCAGTCCGTGGGCGCGACGTGGAAAATATGAAGTGAGTCTGTTTAGGTGTGTGCTAGCGGGGTCCATACCTCTTGGGCTAGGACAGGGGTAGGCAACCTTGGCTCTTTTATGACTCGTGGACTTCAACTCCCAGAATTCCTGAGCCAGCATGGCTCAGCTTGGAAACCTCTCCCTTTCCCCTCAGCATGGCTGGCTCAGGAATTCTGGGAGTTGAAGTCCACGAGTCATAAAAGAGCGCCAAGGTTGCCTACCCCTGGGCTAGGAGAAAGCCTTCATCGGACATAGGCCTATACCTGATCACAGCTGGTTAGATATCCATCTTCCTGATGTATTGGACACAGCTCCCACCTTCAGCTAAAGTAGCTGGTGGAAAATGGGAAATGTAGTTTAACTCAACTCAACCAGCCGGAAAACTGGGGATGGTCCATAACTTTGAATATGTGTGGATTTCAACTCTCATAATTCCCCAGCCAGCATGGGAATTCCCCAGCGTGGCTGGCTGGGGAATTCTGGGAGTTGAAGTTCACACGTATTCAAAGTTGTCAAGTTTGAGGAACCTTTGCTGTTGATAGGGAAGGGTCCCAAAAAATGGGCTTTGGCGGCTTAACCACCCTGCCCCTCCTGCCGTCAAAGACTGCAGATTGCTGGTCTGGATGGGATGCTGACCAATACAGGATGCTCCATGAGAGTGGAATCTACGCAGCAAGGGGGAGAATGTATGTCCTTGCAGCCTGGTTATACCTGGGTACCTGTTTTAAGAAGAGATGTCCAATGTCACCTTGAAATGGAAAAAAGGAGGAAAAGAACAGACTTGAAGGGAGAGAGATTGTGCTTTGCCCAGAAATGAAAAATAAGAAATATTTATTTTATGCATTGGAGCGTCTGGTCTAGATTTTTACATTGCTGGCTCATGATTTCTTGAATAAATCACTATTAGGATAGGTTTGTGCCACTGCAAGCTGCAAAACCTGTTTTGCCAGCTATATTAGTAAACAGTATTGTGGTAAGCCACAAACCAACCAGCCACATTATGTTACATCTTTATTTAAAACATTTCTGCTCCACTGCGATCCAAATGACTCTTGCTGACTTAACCAGAATATAAGTAGAACTTTGTTGAATATCCAGGGTCATATTGTCTCTGGAGATTCTCAGTCATCCGGGTCATGGTTGTCCCAAAGCTGTTTTTTCAAGAAGCAACTGGATTTTCTTGTTTTTCTTTGAAGGCATTTCACTTCTCATTCAAGAAGCTTCTTCAGCTCTGACTGGATGTTGGGGGATGGAAGGATTTTTATACTCCTTGCAGACAGCCGGTCATTTGCATTCTTTCAGAGGGTCATTGAGGCCACCTGGAGGCTTATCTGTGCCCTTAGGGTCACCTGAGCAGTGCAAATGGGTGTGGAGCCTTCTTGGAACTGCTGAAAGGACTGTGTTGTAGACTGGGAGATGGATGATGTCGTATCCCTCCCCCTCGGTTGAGGGAAGGCTGTTTAATTTTGACATATGTCCTCTCTCAACATAGGGAGGTACTTTTTCAAAGGCAACTGTATTTTTTTTGGTTTTTTCTTTGAAGACGTTTTGCTTCTCATCCAAGAAGCTTGAACTGAACAACAACAACAACAACAGCAACAACAACAACAATAATAATAATAAAAGTTGGAAGGGACCTTAGGGGAGGTCATCTAGTCCAACCCCTTGCTCAGGCAGGAAACCCTATACCATTTCTGACAAATGGCTGCCCAGTCTCTTCTTAAAAATTTGGAGGTCATCTAGTCCACCCCCCTGCTCAGGCAGGAAACCCTATACCATTTCAGACAAATGGCTGTCCAGTCTCTTCTTAAAAACTTCCAGTGTTGGAGCATTCACCGCTTCTATAGGCAGGTTGTTCCATTGGTTAATTGTTCTAACTGTCAGGAAGTTTCTCCTTAGTTCTAGGCTGCTTCTCTCCTTGATGAGTTTCCATCCATTGCTTCTTGTCCTGCCTTCAGGTGCTTTGGAGAATAGCTTGACTCCCTCTTCTTTGTGGCAGCCCCTGAGATACTGGAACACTGCTATCATGTCCCCCCTCGGCCTTCTCTTCATTAAACTAGACATACCCAATTCCAGCAACCGTTCCTTATATGCTTTAGCCTCCAGTCCCCTAATCATCTTTGTTGCTCTTCTCTGCACTCTTTCTAGAGTCTCAACATCTTTTTTACATCGTGGTGACCAAAACTGGATGCAGTATTCCAGGTGTGGCCTTACCAACTTGAACTGAAAAAGCTGCTTGGACGAGAAGTGAAACGTCTTCAAGGAAAAACAAAAACAAGTCCAGTTGCCTTTTGCAAAAGCACCTTTGGGAAAAGAAACAGAAAGTAAGAAATACCAAAGGTCTTTCACAACAAAAACGAAGCAGTTAAAAACGAAGAAGAAAGAAGATCACATCTAAACTCAAGGCAAAAGCCCTTTGAAACAATGGCGTCTTCCTGTCAAATGTCTTCCCAAGCCAGCCTTTTCTGGCCTAATATCTCAATGAAGCTCGGTGGGAACACGTGGGAGTAATAATTGCACCCTTTGGGGATGCATGGTTTTCCTCCTTCCTTTTGGAAAAACGCTGAAGCTTGCTTTCGGCAGGGTGTTCTAGCTCAGGGGCCTCCAAGCTTGGCAGCCTTAACGATTTGTGGACTTCAACTCCCAGCCAGCTTCCACAAGTCCTTAAAGCTGCCAAGTTTGGAGATCCCTCTTCTAACTCAATCCATACCAGCCATACACATGGTGAAGTTATTGTTCTCCAAGTTGTGTGTTGTTCGTCCATCGATTTCGATGAAGACCTTGACATCTTGTGGATTGTGGGCCATCAACGGTGTGTCCGTAGATGGCTGATTAGACCAGTGGTTCTCAACCTTTATAATGCCGCGACCCCAACCGGTCGTAAGTCGAGGACTAAGCCGGTCGTAAGTCGAGGACTAAAGCGGTCGTAAGTCGAGGACTAAAGCAGTCGTAAGTTGAGGACTACCCAACCGGTCGTAAGTCGAGGACTTTCCCTGCCCGGGAGCACCGCGCATGCGTGGTTCCGCCCCCTGCGCCGGCCAAGGTGTAGCTGGCAAGCGGCAGAGACGGAGCAGGCCGACCACCAGCTGGCCCAGCCCAAGGGAGGTAAGACACCCGCCGGAAAAGGGGAAAAAAATGGCGGACAAAAAAAATGGCGGACAAAAAAAATGGCAGACAGCCTTGCTTGGCGACCCCCATGAAATGGTCGATCGGCCCCAAATGGGGTCCCGACCCACAGGTTGAGAACCACTGGATTAGACCGATGTTAGCACGGAATGTTCTGCCACATACTGAACAGAGAAATGTGGACACTGTTGCTTCAGCATTTGCAGCTCTGGCTTTACGGAGTGCTCGCTTCTCTTGTGCCAAGATTGTCCTCCTGTGTTCATATGTCTGGCACCCCTGGTAAACCAGGGTACGCCATGTCGGTCGATCACGCGCCAAAAATTCCCAAGAGATGGTGTCGGTATCCAGGGACTTGAGAGATGCTTTCAGCGTGTCTGTGTATCGCTTCTTTTGTCCCCCATGCGATCACTTTCCTTGAGACAGCTTGTTCTCCAAGTTACGTTGGTGGTAAAAGGCAGCCTCCGAGCGTTTGGAGGGACCGGATCCCCCAAAACCTGACATATCCACAGACATTCACGCTTAAATGTTGTCCAATTCAAACCTGATGTGCTTTCTCTTTTCCTTACCCTTCCAGGATATTGCGATTAATGTTAGTCCACATAAAATATCTCTACGGGATCAAGATTGACGTGCGAGGGGCCGAGAACTTCAACATCAAGGAGCCGTACGTGGTGGTGTCCAACCACCAGAGCTCCCTTGACTTGCTTGGTATGACCAGAAGAAGGTGGGGAGGATGGGAAGGAACTTAAGAATTTGTTCTGGGCTCTGCCGGTTCATTTCTTGTTGTTAAGTTGTTGTTGTTTTTTTTAAAAAAAATAGATGTTGCAATGTAGTTTGCGAGTGGAAGCTGCCCAGAAGCATTGCATTACAGGACGGGCAGCAAATGAATTGGATGGATGGACGGATGGATGGATGATAGATAGCAGTAGCGGTTATACTTATATACCGCTTCTTGGTGCTTTACTGCCCTCTCTTAAGCGGTTTATAGAGTCAGCATATCGCCCCCCCCCCCAACAATCTGGGTCCTCATTTTACCGACCTGGGAAGGATGGAAGGCTGAGTCAACCTTGAGCTAGTGAGACTTGAACTCGAATGCAGTGCTGCATTCTAACCACTGCGCCATCATGGCTCACAGATAGATGGATGGATGGATGGATGGACGGACAGACAGACAGACAGACGATGGATAGAGGATAGAGGATAGAGAGATAAAAGGTAGATGATAGATTAGAGAGAGAGAGAGAGAGATGATAGATAAAAGATAGATGATAGAGATAGATAGATAGATAGATAGATAGAGAGAGAGAGAGAGAGAGAGAGAGAGATGATACAGAGATAGAGATGATAGAGTAGATAGGTAGGTAGGTAGGTAGAGGATAGATACATTAGATAGATAGATAGATACATTAGATAGATAGATAGATAGATAGATAGATAGATAGATAGATAGATAGATAGATAGATAGATAGATAGATAGATAGATGATAGATAGATAGATAGATAGATAGATAGATAGATAGATAGATAGATAGATAGATAGAGGATAGATAGATAGATAGATAGATAGATAGATAGATAGATAGAGATAGAGGATAGAGAGATGATAGATAGAGATAGATAGATAGATAGATGATAGATAGATAGATAGATAATAGATAGATAGATAGATAGATAGATAGATAGATAGATAGATAGATAGATAGATAGTCTGGCATTTTTCCTACTGTTTCTTTTGTTTACAACTCCTCTAATAAGCATTAGTTAATAAAAAGTTGGTTTTCCACCACTTCCTAAACTGAAAATTGCCCAACTTAATCTAGGTAATTAAAAAAAGATATGCAGGTAGTCCTCGACGTACGACCACAATTGAGCCCAAAATTTATGTTGTTAAGTGAGACATTTGTTAAGTGAGTTTTGCTCCCTTTTAAGACTTTTCTTGCCACAGTTGTTCAGTGAACCACTGCAGTTGATAAGTTAGTTACCCGATTGTTAAGTGAATCTGACTTCCCCGTTGACTTTGCTTGTCAGAAGGTCGCAGAAGGGGATCACGTGATCCCCGGGACACAGCAAAGGTCATAAATGTGAACCAGTGGCCAAGCGTCTGAATTTTGATCACATGACCATGGGGGGGATGCTGCAAAGATGGTAACTGTGAAAAACAGTCCTAAGTGACATTTTTCAGTGCCGTTGTAACTTTGAATGGTCACTAAACGAACTGTTGTAAGTCGGGGACTACCTGTATTCTGTCTCCACTTTGTGGTTCCTTCCCTTGAAGCCGTGGCTGTCTGGTTCAAGGCAAATATTTTTATCTATGACAGGGACGAGCAACTACGGCCCTTTTATGACCGTGACTCAGGAATTCTGGGAGTTGAAGTCCACAGGTCGTAAAGGGGCCGTGGTTGCCCACCCCCGGTGTGTGACTTCTGGAGTAGCATAGCTAATCCTTTTTTTTTTTTTCCCTGCACAGGTTTAATGGAGGTGTTGCCAGATCGGTGTGTGCCAATTGCCAAGAAGGAGCTGATGTATATGGGCACGGTGGGGTTGGCTTGCTGGCTGGGGGGCATCATTTTTATCAACCGCAAGAAAACCAACGATGCCATCAGTGTTATGTCTGAGGCTGCCCAAACTATGCTGAGCCAAGACGTGAGGGTTGTTTTTTTTATTTTGGAAAGGGGACTGCAGAACTGTGATGAAATGGAGTGGGGAGTCTGGTGGGATGGAGTTGCGTTCGAGCTAGGGCACGGGTAGGCAACCTTGACTCTTTTATGACTCGTGGACTTCAACTCCCAGAATTCCTGAGCCGGCATGGCTCAGCGTGGAAATCTCTCCCTTTCCCCTCAGCATGGCTGGCTCAGGAATTCTGGGAGTTGAAGTCCACGAGTCATAAAAGAGCCAAGGTTGCCTACCCCTGAGCTAGGGCGATGCCATATCCAGATGGCATTGAGCGTGGTGAATTTGGATTGAGGAGTGGGGAAGGAGAGATTGGAGAAAGGGCAGAGAAGAGCAACTAAGATGATTAAAGGCCTGGATAAAACATAGGAAGAACGGTTGCAGGAATTGGGTAAAGAAAAGAAGGACTAGGAGGGACATGATAGCAGTATTCCAGTATTTGACGGGCTGCCACAAAGAAGAGGGGGTCAACTTATTTTACAAAGCTCCAGAGGGCAGGACAAGAAGCAATAGATGGAAATTAATCAAGAAGAGAAGCAACCTGGAATTAAGGAGAAACTTCCTGACAGTGAGGACAATTAACCAGTGGAACAGCTTTGCCTCCAGAGGTTGTGAGTGGTCCATCACTGGAGGCTTTTGAGAAGAGACTGGACAGTCACTTGTCTGGAAGGGTATAAGGCAGCCCGCGAAGTGGTTTCATGTGGCCCGTGAAGCCATCCTGGAAACAGTGAGGGAATGGCCCCCTCTGCCTTGGCCCTGGCCCAGGCCAGCCAGGAGCCAATGTACAATTTTGTGGTGGCCATCTATGCTGAAACGCATTCAGTCTTAGCTCCATAAGCCCCCCACCCCACACATGGCCTGAGAGGAACAGTGAGGCTCCTCCAATGGACCATGCCTTGGCACTTGCCCCAGTCCCACCCTCTTCTGCCAGAGACCCTCAGATCTGTCCCACTCCTGCCTAGGCCCCCACAGGCCCCCTTGACGCGAACAATGTAGAGCTGGCCATGCCCACCCAGTAGGCCACACCCACTCCATCCACGCCCACCCAGTAGGCCACACCCTGGCCACACCCACCCAGCCCCCTGAGGGCAACCACAATGCTGATGCAGCCCTCAATGAAATTGAGTTTGACACCCCTGGTATAAGGTCTCCTGCTTGAGCAGAGGGTTGGACTAAAAGACCTCCAAGGTCCCTTCCAGCTCTATTCTGAAACTGAATTTGAGACACGTTTGCCACATTCTTATAAGGTTCGACTTGGGTTTCCCCCCCCCTTATTGAGAGTGTGAATTACCAAGTGTGTTTTATGTACAGATAGTCTTCAGCTTACAACCGTTGGTTTAGTGCAGCCATGTCCAAAGTCCGGCCCGCGGGCCATTTGCGGCCCGCGGACCGGTTTAATCCGGCCCGCTAAGAGCCCTCCCTGCTCTATTTAAATGCAGCCCTCCCACACTTGTCCAGCGGCCCTCCCACACTTGGCCATTTTGTATTGGTTATAGTACATTCTAGCAGCTGCTTGTTCAAGGACTGGCACAAAAGGCCGTG